ATTATTGAGTGCGGGCTGGGGGAGGGCTGGACAGCCGGTGCGGCTCAAAGGAAAACCAAAAGTGCGTCTATTCGTGCTGCTGTGACATGCGGTTCCTCGGGGAGGCCCCTACGCACCCCTCAGTTGCTCACCCCCCTACCAAGATTTCTCTAGGGCGATCCAGGGCTTGCACAGCACAGGGCGAGGCGAGTGGGAAAGTGTCACGATTTTTCCTGGGCCCTGCCCCCGTCCCCACCCCCAGTTTTCTGGGGTATGCTGCTGCTGCTGAGGAAGGGCTGATCCGTTTTGCGTCAAAGGACTGCATTTACTCAGTCCTGCTGAGAGAGGCGCGTAAACACCCAGGCAGGCCAGGACGCAGGGATGAAGGGGAAAAAAAGCCAGGCACCCACGGCTGGTGCGTGTACGCCTGCCCCACACCCCAGTCGCGGGCCTGCAGAACTGCGCTCTGCTGGGAGAGCAGCTGCAGAAATGAGAGGAGTCTGGCCACCTCGACTCACCATGCGCACAAGTCCTTGGGGATGGAGCTCGGGACAGAATGTGTTTTATAACTGTAAACAATGACCCCGAGTATTGTTTGGGATTACCGTATCTTGGGGCCCTTGGGGCGGCCAGATGCCGCCAGCCATCCCGGAAACGCCAGAGCTTTATATAGAGCCCCGGGAAAGCTTCGAGTTCCCGACTCTTATTTTTCTTTCCTTAGTTACGCCCCCACTTCACAGATAAGGAAACTGAGGACTGGGACTGGGATGTGAAATAGCAGATGCATAGCGCTTCAAAATCCCCAGTGAACCCCCAACAACTCACCTTCCTAGTCACTCCTCAAAAAGATCTTTAGGATACAGATGTGCTGCCTAGGATGGTTAAAAACTGGGCGTAATTACTGGTTTGTAATCCCAGCACTCGGGAGGTGGAGGCTTATCTAAGACATATACGGAGTTCGGGGACAGCCTGTGCTACCTGAGCCTCAAAAGAAAGAGTTCCTCAACTCCTGGTACAACACTTAGCATGGTACCTTCTCTTAGGATGATTGGAAGTCCGGAGCAGACAAGAGCTTCAGAAGGTCGTCCGCTCCAAACCTTTCATTATACAGAAGGAAATTGAGACTGCAGACTCGCCCAAGATCTCACAGCTCGTAAATAGCATGGCCAGGCGTTCATACTCCAAGGCCTGCGCTCTTTACCCTGTGCACCACCCCGCCCAGCAAGGCGGGAAGAGCCAGGAGTCCGGCCACGCGTGCCCTGAACTTTGCTCCAAAACAGCTCAAGGCAACTTGGGGTACATCTCTCGGCCCCCCAGTTTGTTTGTTTGAACAGCTTGGTTTGCTTTTAAGGCCTGGTTGCTGCTATTAGATGCGACCAAATTGTCTAGCACAGGGGACTCCCGCAATGTCTCGCTAGCTAGTTTCATCTTCAATAGCACTTCTAGCAAATTAATTGGAAGGTCAAAATAAAAAACAAAAACAAACAAACAAACAAAAAACCCAAGAGCACACACATACAAAAGGGAAGCAGTGGGCAGCCAGGCTCCGAGGGGGAAATGGGCAGGCCAGACCAG